ATAGCAAACACACGTGTCCAAAAGAAAGAAAAGCAATCACAAATGTAAAGTTTTATACAACCAATATTTATCTGCTTTAGAAGAATATAATAAATTTCATAGTAAAATAAATTATAATAGACGTACCAAAACAAAAAGTGAATACAAAAAAATTCAGAAGAAACTAAAAAATCAATACAAGAGACAACAAGGTGATATGGTGCAGCAGTTGAAGAAAAACAACCCTAAAGAATTCTTTAAACATTTTAGCAAACGAAATACATCAACCTCAAAAGTTACACTTTCAGAATTTTTTGAGCACTTTCGGAACCTAGCTAATGATTCACCATCTACCTATATTTCGATTGCTAATTATATGGATACTGATATTTTAAATAGCCCTGTATTCGAGCTCTTAGAAACTGAAATTACTCCAAAGGAAATTGAAACCTGCATACGCAGATTGAAAACGAACAAAAGCGCGGGAAACTATTATTTGATCAATGAATATTTTTCCGAGTTTAGTGACATAATTCTCCCTATTCTCCTGAGCATTTTCAACAAAATTTTCAATTCTGGTATATTTCCTTCATCGTGGTCTAAAGCAATTATTATTCCAATTTATAAAAAAGGAAAAACCGACGATCCCGGAAATTACAGAGGTATCAGCATCACAAGCAGTCTAGGAAAACTTTTTACATCAATTCATAACGAAAGAATAATGAAATGGAACAATTCAGAAAATATTATCACTGATGCGCAATTTGGATTTCAGGCTGGCAGATCAACTACTGATGCGATATTCGCGCTTCAAAGTTTAATATCACAAAAGTTGAATAACAAACAACGTTTATATTGCTGTTTTATTGACTATAAAAAGGCATTTGATACAATTAACAGAGAAAAATTATGGTATAAGTTGATTAAACTGGGGATTACCGGAAAATTCCGTCGAATCATCCGATCGCTTTATGTTGACGTGCGCGCTTGTGTCAAGAATGCTGGAGAGATATCCGTAGAATTTCCAGTAAACACTGGGTTGCTCCAGGTGGAAGTGTTATCGCCAATACTATTCAATATGTATGTTAATGACTTGGAAAATCACTTCATAAACGACAAATGCCCATCCGTAGAATTAAGGGAGCTAAATCTTTTTGTTTTGATGTTCGCAGATGACACCGTAATATTCGCTAACTCACCTGAAGAATTACAGTATATGCTTGACGCGTTACATGGATATGTTACCTCGTGGAATTTGACTGTTAACACTGAAAAAACCAAAATTTTAGTATTCAGAAAAGGAGATGCGTAAATTTTTCATGGACATATAACAATGAAATTTTGGAAATTGTCGACTCTTTTAATTACTTAGGATTATGTTTAAATTATAACGGTAAATTCAATGTAACGCAAAAGAAATTAGCTGAACAAGGTCAAAAAGCACTATTTGGTTTAAACCGTAATATACAGAAATTTGAATTCAACGTCGAAACCCAATGTCAACTCTTTGATACATATGTTGGAAGTGTTATCTCGTATTGAAGCGAAATCTGGGGTTTTCATAAATCTCCGGAAATTGAAAGACTGCATTTATCCTTTTGTAAAATTACCCTCGGTGTTAGGCGCAATGTATGCAATTATATGATTTATAGAGAATTGGGACGATATCCACTTATTATACAAAGGAAATTGAAAATTATGAAATTCTGGTGTAAATTATTAAAAACAGAAAACTGCATTTTAAAATCTTCTTATGAATACCTGCGATATGATGCAGAGAATGGGTCGGGAACGAGTATAAATTGGGCGCGTGATGTAAAACTTGAACTATTTAGATTGGGTCTGGGAGAATTTTGGATAAAACAGCAAGCAATAAACTTTGCTCATTTTATGCACGTGTATAAAAATAGAATCCTAGATATATACCTCCAAGAGTGGATAATTATGGATAATTCGTCAAAATGCTTTCTATATAAATATATTGTCCAATCTGACTTCTGTAAAATGCAATCCTATTTAACAAAACCTTTTCAGAGTAATTTAAAAAAAACATATTTCCCGCATTAGACTTTCGTCTCACTATCTTAACATAGAATGCGGAAGGTACCAAAGCAAAAGTAGAGAGGATAGATTATGCGATGTTTGTAATACACGTGAAATAGAAGAATTCCATTTCATTCTTCAATGCCCTAGATATCTAAATTTAAGAAAAAAATATATAAATGAATATTATTACAAATCGCCAAGTACTTTTAAATTAATCCAATTGTTGGGTACCAACCGCATATCTACCTTGGTTGGTTTAGGGAAATATATTCATTATGCTCTAATATTACGTAACGAAGATCAATCAGGTTAACCTAATTTCTATCTGTGTAAGGTTTATATTTTCAGATGTCTGTACATTAAAACATCATTGCTATATATTGTATTATAACTTTGAATTATGTATTGTACTGCTTATTGTATTGTACTTAATTTGTTCAATATATTATAATTGTACTATACTATAAATGAGTGGAACTGTGGGACTGAGGAACACTTGACCAGGGGTTTCACCCCCCAATTTAGCCTCACTGAGAGTCTTAAATTTTGTAATGTATGTTATTATATGTTATTTTTGTAAACTGATGGGCTGTATTGCCCAAAGTTATATCCTGTATAAACTTATATTACCAGAGGCGTAGTCACAAACTTAAAAGTGGGGGGGGGGGGGCTCAAATCCAAGAAAGATCTAAAACGTGAGTGGGGGCACAACCATATATTTTCAGTTGGGGGGCACTATCAATTACCAAAAATTCCTTTACAAGCAATGATATAGTAGCTATGAGGTTTACTATAATTTCAACATAGCTGTGATTTTGTTCTACATTAAGTGGGGGGGGGGGGCACGGACATACTCTTGCCCCCCCCCCATATCTGAAAGTGGGGGGGGGGGGCTAGTGCCCCCGCTGCTCCCCCTGTGACTACGCCTATGATTACTATTTTATACTGGCGTAATACGAAAATGTCCCCATATCTCAGCAATGTTGCAGAAAATTGCATGCAAAATCGCTCTAAAACTTTTAGGAGAAAAAGTATAGAAGTATGAAATATGGCCAGAAATTTGGTGGTATTTTTTATGCATGAGTGATCTGTCTTGGATCTAAAATAACTATGTACAGTGTATTACTCTTTAATGAATTCAAGCATCCGTAACAATTGTCATTCAGTTTCTATTTTTAGATTAGGAAATCCCATATCTATTCATACACGTGTAAAAGAGAAAATTTTCAGTCTGTTTTGGGGTGGGAAAACAATCGTTCTTAGGAAATCAGTGAATGTGTTGTTATATTCCGTAAGTACATAATATTATAAGTATTTGATTCTCAGAATTACTGATTATATACGTCCTTGAAAGTAAACTTTGAGTTATAACTGCTTTTATATCAATTTGTCGAGTAGAATGGAGCATGGAGTTGTTGGAGTCATTAAGTAAATTTGGTTTCATTGCATACACATCGAGTTCACACATGAATTATTTTTTTAAGATATGGCAAAATTTGAAATTACTGATTTACCTACTTTCGATTTGAACATATGACTATACATTAGTGTAAAAAAATAAGTGGATTTTTAGTAACTGTTTACATTTTTAAAGTCATAAATGCAATAAAAGGGTTTTTTATTTGACACAGCTGAAACATATCAAGAACTTTGTCTTGTCAACTAACCAACACCCCCTCCCCTTCCCCGGATAAAAAATTGACCAATTAAAAAAAACTTCCTTACAGCCCTTAATATTGGTGGCAAGGTTGAACTAAAACCTTCTTGCGCTTATCATGATGTACATGTATATTGATCAACATCCTGTTTAGACGGGCGTTGCTAAGACGCGGAACGGAAACGGAAACGGAAAAATCTTTTATCAAGTTACATATGAATATACTTGACACATATATAAATCAGACAAGTCCAAAATGGAGATTAATGGAACCAGTATATATTTTTATGCCCCCGTATCGAAGATTCGGGGGTATATAGTTTTTGCCCTGTTCGCAATATTTTACTCAACTTTAACCTTGGCCATAACTTTCGAACGATTGGTGCTAGGGCTTTCATAATTCACACGTGTAATATTTTTGTGAGGATACCAACAACTTTGAACCTTTGACCTTGGAGTTTGACCTACTTTTGGAAAACTTTAACCTTAGCCATAACTTTTGAATAGTTGGTGCTTGGGCTTTCATAATTAATGTGTTTACTCCTTCTTGTGACAAGACCTTCCTTTGGATAGCAACAATTGTAATCCATTGACCTTGACCTTGGAGTTTGACCTACTTTTGTAAAACGTTAACCTTAGCCATAACTTTTGAACGATTGGTGCTACGGCTTTCATATTTCACATTTGTATTTCTTATGAGAAAGCCTTTCATTGGGCACCATAAAATGGTAAGGCGAGTTATTATATGAAGAAAATTGACTTGGGACTAACCCCCCCCCCCCCCCACCCTCCCAACAACGAATTCAGAATTTCAGATTTAGATAATTTGATGCTTTTGGATCCAAGCATGCAAATACCACGTCCGAATCAGATAATTTTGGGGAAAAAATATGCATGTATACGTCTTTTGAACGTTCACTGATCAGAATACATGTATATGTTTTACTTGTTCCGTCTTCCATACTCTATATATATGTTCAGGGATCTTCGCCAGAGAATAATCATGACTAAATCAACTCGTATTAATAATCCTTGATTAAATATGATCAATTCAGATAATTTACGCCGTTTTAGTATGATTTATTTATTTATCATATTTTCTGTCTTCCGTTTTCCGTTATGCGTTGTAGTAACATCCTGTTTAGACTACTAATCATTATGTTTTCAGCCTCTTTTTTAACATATATATATATATACATATATATATATATATACACATACATATATATATATATATATATATATATATATATATATATATATATATATATATATATATATATATATATATATATATATATATTGTAGTTACTTCTTTGAGTGCAAATATATTCTAAACGCAAGCAATGGCACCAAGGAGAGATGTAGGGTAATATAAATGACAAAAGCTGAGGGAGAATTTTATGGAGCGGATCATGTTTATGCCACATCAGTCCTCGAGGTACTTTAGGTAATTGTTGTATTAACCTATACATACAACAGCTTATGAAGTTTATACTACATCATTTCATTTATTTTGTCTCGCACTTGTGAATGGATTATTGGAAAATAATATATTTTATGATTTAGAGTTGTTTAAATAAACACAGAGACACTTTTTAAATTGTAATCATATTTTTTTTTTAAATCAAGAATCCTTTCTTCTTGTTTTCCTTTGCTCAATCTGTTTTCTGAAAACCATTTTTAATCTGTAATTATCTGAAGATTCCTATTTTGGATGAGCGGGTGTATTAATAGAAAATACATTTGTCATGATCTGTAAATAGGGAAACAGACAGAGATATCAGATAACTAGCGACTTAACAACTTTACTTTTACTTCGTATGATTATTTATTCGAGCTTTGCTTTTGTTTTACCTTTTATCATGCAAGATGTGCTAAGGTCTTACGTTAATTTATAAAATAAATTATAATTTGCCGTTCATCAGTAAAGTTTTACTTAAATTTGATCTATATTAAAATTGATTTAACGCGTTTACATGTCAGTCATTAAAATTGGGTCGAGTATTCCAAATTTATATTTATTTAATATTAAACTCAAATTTAAAAGACATAATGATTGCCCTTTTAGTTTTTTTTTTTTTTTTTTTTTTTGCTTTTTTTTTTTTTTTTTTTTTTTTTTTTTAACCAATTTCTAGAAGTATTGAATACAGAAGTTTTGACAATTTGAACTTGATGCCTTTGTGTACATGAACTTGATAAAGAAGATGGGCGTTTTTGGCGTGTGATCTGCAGGAATAAGACGTACGAAACATTTATAGTTTAAATGTCTACGATTTGGTCGGTTGACCACAGCTGGACATACTTTACAAAGTTACGCACAGAAAATGTTACATTTAGTTTGAAGTACTTTGTCAAATTTAATGTATCAGTCCGCTTATCTTGATAATTACTACATCTAAAACATAGTAACGCTTCACATAAATAATAAACACATATAGGGTATAGTTAAATGCAATTACAAGTACATACTTGTATATATTAAAGTATCAGTAGGTTGGAAGAATCGCTTTCGGTGCAACAGAACCAGAATTTATCTATCTGAAAATAAATCACTTCATAAAATTAAACTGATAAAAGAATTGATTGTTTGTACTAAAAAAAAATATTAACTCTCCATGCGAGGATCGAACTGTCTTTCTGACATATTTTCTATTTATCAATAAAAATCTGCATTATGACTAAAAGTAGTCATAATGCAGATTTTTATTGATAAATAGAAAATATGTCAGAAAGACAGAACCAAAAATATTTCTTTATCATTGCACTGGACGGGTAACGCATACTACTGAGCTATCACCGCTACACAGGTTTTTAAAGCGACAATGAAGCACCGCATTTACACATTGGAATTTTTTTGGAAAAAGTTAATTTTTTATCGTCTCTGGGTCTTCTCTCCATTTTTTTTACAAATGTTTGTTAGTTTCTTTGAATTAAAATGCACACAATTAACGTTTCAAAATCATGGACAGATGACCCAGAGATAGCAAATATTTAGAAAAACGTGTTTAAAAATGTAAAATTTTGTACCAAATGACTCATCTAGCCAACTTTCAAGTTCTTTTTTAACAAATCAAAATACAATATCGGGAAAATATTTCCCTGTTCTATTTCACAGGAACCCGATATATCAAAAGAATGCTAAAATTTCATGTGACAGATCAATGAAATTTTTACTTTTCAAGTGAGCCCAGATTCCTGCCGAATGCCAATCAAAAGCGCATTCTTATAGAAAGGCTTGCTTCTGTTTTGATTTCAGTACTAGTATAATGAATGGTGAAAGTTTTATGTAAAACTATTATAAAAATGAATTATAATATAGTGTCATCCGTATAGCTGTAATAGGGATATTTCATTTTCTTTTTTCAGCTACCGATCAAAAATAATACATCAGACAAACTAAAAACCATGTCAACGGGGGGAGCAAGGGCAAAAATACAGAGTAAGTATAATTTGGTATACTTGTCCTTAAAGGGAATAATTTTATTCAATTTGAACAAAGATATGCTAGGTTTTCAAGAGAAAACGTTATTTTTTCCTATATATTCAAATGAAAAAAGCTATTAAGATTTATTCTTTCCAGTGTGGTAATAATTTGAACAAATTTGATTCTACACTACATGTACCTAACGATATTACGTCTCAGTTTGTCCATTTGCATCCCTCTTGTTATGTACAAAATGTAAAGAATACTAATATTGAAATATAGCTTATATAGACTCGACCTCCACTCCTCCACCCCCATACCCGATCTATTAGGATCATTGTTTAAATAAGCTTTAAATAAGAAAGCTTGTATCCAAGTTTTGTATTACCAGAGTCATTACATGTATTTAAAGAATTTTTAATGTGTCCACCCTTTTAAAACTATATTTCTCATTATATCTCCTTTTTAATCCTTTAAATAGACAGGGGATGTCTACTCCTCCATGGCACCTGATCCCACCTCTGTTTTCAAATGTCCTTGTTGGCTCTGCCCACAATTTGTTTTGTTTGAACGGACTTATGAACATGATCACTGTTCCTTATCTTCATGAACTCCTATACCCGTGAATGTTGTGGTGAAATCTTTAGTTGTTATTGGTCAGTTGTTCAGAGAAAAGTGTAAATTGTGCAAGTTTACAGATAATTATACAGATCTCGGGACTAGAGGGAAGGGGGGAGGGGGGGGGGAATAATGTCCAGAAAGAGTGTATAGAGGATGTTTTCTCCCCAATGGCACCCGCACCCACCTGTGATGCTTTATAGGTCTGTGTTTGCTCTGCTTACTATTTGTATTGTTTCAAAGAACTTTTGACCTTGATAACTGGTCGTTTTCTTCTTATTTCCAATACGTATATGGGAACATGTTTAAAATTCTTTATCTTTGGGACGGAGAGCTGCATGTGATTAGTCAAAATGAATTTCATATTAGTACTTTCATATAGCAAAAGTTTCAATATTTTCACACTGGGTAAGACGTTTTAAGCACCACTACATAAAAAATATGTGAAAATTCTTTTAGAATGTAGAAAAATATCAAAGTTAAATAATTTTTCAGTTTAGACCGTGAGAATGACGCTGAGTTTAAAACAGAGTATCAAATTTATCAAAGATATGAATAAGGAATCTTAAAAAGAGTTCTGCATAAGAACGATAAAGAAATAAGTAAATAATGAAATAAGTAAAGTAAATACATAAACATCCTTAAGACTGAATGTTTCGTGCAAGTGACTACGTCAAACGTTATACATAAACTCCGCAGGACAGTAAGACTGCAACTAGTCAATTTAATGTGGCAATACACCATGCTATGTCATTTCAAATTTTATCTGAGTCCTGACTTTCATGAACAGGTTTGAGGGTCGGAAATTCAAAAAGATATAAACTTCCTTAAGAACAAGTAACTATATTTTATCAAATTGTTTTATCAGTATCTGTATATAATAACAAAGGCGGATCCAGCGCCGGCGCGCCGGGCGCGCGCTCCCCCTCCCCCCCCCCCCCCGGTTGAATTTTTTTTTTGAAATTTTGTTTGTATTATCCTAAAATCAAGTGAAAAAACACCTCTTATTTGTTAGAATTCGTCAGTACCCCCAGACCCCTGCCTTCTACTGCGTCCCCCTCCCCCTTATGAAATTCCTGGATCCGCCGCTGAATAAATAATGACATTGTTGTGAATATGCCCTTTTTATCCATTCAAGGCGTCAAAAAGTCAAAAAGGAGTTTCGTCTATCTACACGTAGAATGAAACAAGGTGAATCAATAATGTGAATCTTGAGGCCCATGGGCCTTTTATCTGTTTATTCAATTTTCTGTATAGTTTAAGGGCATATACATTGATAATTCATCTCATTTCTCATACCATCCAAGGTCAACAACAGGAAGTCAAACGACGATGTCATCTTCCAGTTGAACTGCAGAACGATTTTTATGCAGATGTCATAGTTATTCATTCCAGAAAAGATGACGAACTTGCACAAACATTCCTCTCTGACATTCAAAAGCATTTTGAAAGGGGAAATGATTACATCATAGTGAGTTATCTAGACGAAAGGCTTCCCATAGAAAATGCGGGTGACTGCGACTTCAAGCGTTGTTCTGTTGCTTTTTTCATATTTACAGAAAATTCAGTGAAAGAATTTAATACTTTGACGAAAGACAAATATCTCGACGATTTGTTGTATGAGGGGAAATTTGTGCCAGTTTTAACAAAGCCAAAAGACAAACTTGTTCTTCCCATGCGAGCCCGTGTCCCTGTCTCTCTGAATTATTTTAAGCAGACGTCATTTCAATTCCCACGTGCTGTTTTAGATTTGCTACAAAACAACTCAGGAACACGCCGCACAAAAGAGAAACGTCACAAGATGCAGGTTTCCGAGTATACAACAGTTCATTTACCCGATCCTGTTAATGATACACCACAAAAAATTATAAATATAAAGGCCTACAATGTAATAGTTGGAGACCATGGGACAATCTTGGGTTACACTGAAGGCGAAAACGAGAACCTGACGAACTCCACCAGGACACACTCGAGTAAATCCAATAGAAGTCAATTGACTAGTGATATTTTACAATCATTCAGGCATGATACAAATTTTTCCAGAGAAAGCACGGCTTATCCTTCCAGTTACCAGGATGAGACAGGTACTACACATAAAAATTTTACAAGTATGCAAACACCATGTGCTTCCATGAGCTATTCAGGAGATGAGCAAAATTCGTCAAAAATCTCAAATCGGTCAGAATCAATCACCAGTACACCGACTGAGGATTTTGCTTCCGTTGGAAGTGGACATCAACCGAGGATTGCAAGCTCAGGGCGGTTACAGAAATTTGAGATTCCAACACCCTCTTATTCAGCTTTGTCAAGTAATATGCCGCTTCCAGTGCAGATTTCTCCGAATGAAGAATTAAATTTTACAATCAGTGAAAGTTTTGGAAGCTTTCATGCAGCCGGAGAGACATCAATTGAAAAAGCATCTGGTGATAGCAGCCATATAAATCTCCCTTATCCTCAACAAATTTCCTGTGATCAGAGTTTTATGTCGGATTTTCATTCATCTGTGTCTGCAAATTCCACTGCATATACTTCGGATTCGGAGGAAAAACCCAATATACCATGGCAAAACGAAGGAAGAACAAAAGATACTGCAATTTTAAACGATCAGAGCATATCGATGAAACTGGGCAATGTTGACAGAATGATTAAAACTGAGACCCCATGGTCAAGTCATCGATACGATGCAAGAAAGACTCCGAAAGAGGTCACCGAGAACTCATCAGATTCCTTGGTTCTTCGGGGAGAAGGCTTAGATTTCAGCTCCTTGTTTGGATCAAATGATTGAATTGAAATTTGTTTAATTGAAAAATATTTTATCTTAGTTCAAATAAACCACTCAACTGGAGTGCAAACCTTCGAACTTGATTATCAACATTTTTTAAAGCACTAAGGCAAAATAATATTAATAGATCACGTGTATAAGCAGTCAACACACACACAATCTCAAACACGTATATATATATATATATATATATATATATATATATATATATATATATATATATATATATATATATATATATATATATGGAATACTATTAAGATTATTTGCAAAAGAATAAACATAAGCTTACTGTCTAAAGTTAACTTTTCTTCAAATGTTGTCAATATTAATGTCACTGGTGGAATAAGAGTAATTTAACCAAACACTGGAATATAATTTTCCTCAACAAAGTTAGAGACTTCCTTTATCCTTTCCTAGAACTAACATGTTTAGATCAAGCCACAACTCTCCTTAGAATTTTACAAAGGTGCAAGCTCATTGGACAATATAAATAAATGTTATATTGTCAAAATTTTCAATACATATGAAGGATTTTTGAAAAAGCGATAACATATGAAGTTATATTTATCAAAAATGTAATTTCTGGATAGAGTATAATTTGAACATTTGTAGTGTCAGTGTTAAGCACATATATGTCGGCTTTGAAAGATTAAACAATTATGTGCATAACTCGTGCATTAAAATAAAGACAATATTCTGGAATATAGTAATAAATGAATAGAAGCTTTAAGTTACTTGGGTCAATGTGTTGATTGGTTTGGGCGAAATTTCGATAGACCTAGTAAAACGTAATTTTTATTTAGCAATAAATATCAATGGCAAGAAAACAAAAGCTTGAATGCCAATGAAATCAATTTGCCACTTTTTTTTAAGAATTACTATCAAATGTTGGTCATTTTTATGGTAAAACTTGTGAAAAATTCCCCAAATGCTGTTAAAAATTTTCATTTAGATTAATTAATCAAAATCTTTATACAGCAAATTTCGTAACAAATATTTTAAGTATGATTGAACAAATGTCATTGATGATGCAACTTCATCAAATACTGACACCGTTACTTTTAATTTAATAGGCCCATTGATCAAGTTGATGTGCAAGAAATTTCCAAAACTGTCTCTGAAAGTACCTTAAGGAATTATTTCCAGTATCCCAAAATGATGGCGATTTTCTCAATCAATAGTTAATAGAGTAGCTTTTAAAATTGTGTTAATTAAAAGTATATTATTTGGTTTTGTATTTTGCCATTCTCCATTTGTTGTACAGGTTTTATGAAATATTGCAGTACTGTCTAAACTTTATCATTTAGAAAGGTGAAGATAAAATTTAAAAAAAAAAAAAAAAAAAAAAGGAGAGAGAGAGAACTAAGGAGACAATACTATTGAAATGATATCGAATCAATATTGATATATCAATCTAATACATATATTTCTATGAAGATTAATCATTCAATGTAGCAGCTTGCATGATTTTATTTATTTTCTGCCTTAGAATAAAAATTATGGAGAATTGGTGTAATGGTAATAATCAATTATTTTTATGATCATCCACACATTCGATTCTTTATACACACATGGTAGATTTCTTTCTTTCTTTTTTTGATCCAAATCTTTATTAAGGAAAATAACAAATCTTAATTTTTCTCAAAAATTAAAAGAAAATTCAGATAGTAACTTATGAATTCTGACACCTTTTTGAATATTAACGTTACTGAGACAAACACACTTTAATTTCTATTTTCATATTTAATAGTTATACAAACTCTTTAATAAATTAAAACTATCTCTCTATCACTTGGTCTTTAATTCAAATATACTCAGAATTTATTGTTAAATATTTCTTTCTCTGGCAAATAACATGGATAACTTCTTAGGAAATTAATACCTTTCTTATATAGTCAATACCATTTTATGATAAAGTTCGTTTTCGAACTTTCTTTTAGGGGAATGTTATGGCAGCATTCACAATGTACCCAACAAAACGTATCTGTTTCACTGTATTATTCTCTCTCTCTCTCTTTAAGTACACATTTAAAAAAAAAGAAATTCTTGTATACAGAAAAACTTCATACCTAAACAGACAAAAACAATGGTCCTAAATGCAGATTTAATTTATAGGTTTAATTAATTGGTAAGGTTCGTATTGCTATTTATTTATTAAGGATACATGTGGTTTTTAATTAAAGAAAAGTTTTTAGACCACTGAAAATTTTTCCTCTACCAACATTCAGTTAGGATTTCATGTATTGTGTAAAGCTAAGAAAAGGTCTGAAAATTTTCAGTAATGGCGTATTATGTCTAAGCAATGAAGAAAAGTCGGTCAGTATACGTTTTCATTTCACAATCGTATTTAATACACAATCATTATTTGATTATGTAATCACTGTAGATTCCTGATGCAGCTAAATTCATTGGTTAAGCAAGTTTTAAAATTCTACTATCATTATCATTATTGCACGACTTGAAAGCAATTAGCTTCAATCATAAAACTTTTTCACAACTTGACAAGACTTCTATCACTGTGCAAATAAAACTTCATATCTATTGAACTCTATTGAGAACCCACTAGCACCATGAAATAAAAATACATACTAATCAAGTAATCGCCACCCTAATAAGAAATAAATCTGATTAAATATCATGAGACTCAATAACATTTTTGGATAAAGTATCTAAAAATAATAATTTTTAAAAAATCTGTTATTAATGTTCTGTTGTTCTCAGAAGAGTTATGTTTGTCCAAATACGTCATAGACAGTTTTTCTATTCGAGCAAAAAATTGAAATCAATTATATCAGAGTACTCTTAAAATTCTTTCTAAATAACTTATTTCTTCTTTTTTTTTACTGGTGAATTCGTCATTACTCTTACATAAAGTGAATGCCCATTAATTAAAAAGTTGCACATGTCATAACTTAAAATAGACGTTCAATTAACAAATAAGTTGTTGTCACAACTTTTCTTGGTAAACTTACCCTGCTTCTATTCAATAAAGCAACCTTCACGTTATGAACCCGATTCGTCCAATATCTATACATGTCTGCAAGAAGAATGTAATGTAGGTAATTGCAAATTTGAAAACCACTGGATAAAGGAATAATGTGTTTTTAAAGGGTTTCTTTGTTTCTTTTTGGATAGAATTAAATACAAGAAATGTGTTTGTATTTATTTATTTTTTAATACATTTATTTTTTACTTATTTTTTCAATTATTTAATTATTGATCTGTGTATGTTGTTTTGGGGATCATACCAACTTTCATGCATGAATGAGTTCGATTACGATGCTATGTACATGTAATCAAAAAATTAAAATTACTTGGTTTTAAATATATATATTGATTAAGTTAATGATTACATGGCTTTCAAAAGTAATTGATCAAATTGAAAATTACATAAGAAATGTAATTATAGTAACTTCTGATAACACTTGATTACTTTTGATAAATTGTTATGCATGAACTAAAAAGAGCCATTAATAAACAACATATCTATAGTGAAATATAGTATATTTGACCAAAAATAATGTGAAAATCACTTTTAGATTGAAAAAAATAATAAGAAATACACCAAAGGTGGATTTTAAATCTGATGGCTATAGTATTCACAACATTGACAAAAATCATAAATTCTAATAGATAGGCATTCTTCTTTTCAGAACTGTTTTTTCCACAATTTTTTTCATATTCTAAAAAATGGAACAAACTTTTCAGCATTACTAACATTCACTGAATTATTTCAGTTTCAAAAATTATTATTGAATGTTAAATATGTTTTTCTCTGGCAAATACCTCGGATGATTTCTAAGAAAATTAATACCTTTTTGATATAGTCATTATCATTTTATGATAAAGATCGTTTTCGAACTTCCTTTTAGGGGAATGTTATGATAGCATTCACAATGTACCCAACAAAACTTATCTGTTTCACTGTATTATTCTCTCTCTCCCTCTCTCTCTCTCTCTCTCTCTCTCTCTCTCTCTCTCTCTCTGTTTAAGTACACATTAAAAAAAATCTTGTACATAGAAAAACTTCATACGTAAATAAACTTATAAACAATGGTCCTAAATGCGGATTTAATTTAAAGGGTTTTTTTTAATTTGTAAGGTTTATATTACTATTTTATTTATTAAAGATACATGTTTGGTTTTTTAATTAAAGAAAAGTTTTTAGACCACTGAAAATTTTTCCTCTATGCACATTCAGTTGGGATTTCATATATTGTTTAAGCTAAGAAAAGGTCTGAAAATTTTCAGTAATGGTGCATTATATCTAAGCAATGAAGAAAAGTCGGTCAGTACACGTTTGCATTCACTATCATATTTAATACACAATCATTATTTGATTATGTAGCCATTGTAGATTCCTGATGCAATTAAATTCATAGGGTTTATCAGGACTTTTAAAATTCTACTATCAGTAACATTATTGGACGACTTGAAAGCAATTAGCTTCAATCATAAAACTTTTTCACAACTTGACAAGACTTCTATCATTGTACAAATAAAAGTTCATATTTATAGAACTTTACTGTAGAACCCACTAGCACCATGAAATGAAAATACATACTATTCCAGTACTATATAGTAACCGCCTCCCTAATAAGAAATAAATCTGATTAAATATCATGAGATTCAATAACATTTTTGGATAAAGTATCTAAAAATAATAATTAAAAAAATTTGTTACTAATTTTCTGTTGTTCTCAGAAGAGTCATGTTTGTCCAAATACGTCATAGAAAATGTGGACAGTTTTTCTATTCGAGCAAAAAATTGGAATCAATTATATCAGCGTACTGATAAAATTCTTTTTAATGAATTAATGTTTATGCTTGCATAAACAAAGTTTGTGTCGGCATTCAACCTCCGGAATCTACGATTCCACCGTCCAAGTTCAAATCATAGTTTCTGTCTCTTGATTGGTCAATATAAATAGTCATCTATTGTTTTAGCGTCATTTGATCTGTGTACATGTTATTATTTACACTAAGCTTATCCACGTGAAAAAAATATTTCTTATCCAGCGTTTTATGTGTACTGATTTACCTCTCACTGTGGGAAACATTTCGCGACTGCATTGTGCATTATATGATTGTGTATAATAGTATTTTGTGACAGTGCGATTTCACTGAAGTAACTGAGTGACCATGGCCGAAAGACGCGACCGTTCCCGCCACAGAGCAAATGTGTTGGATTCGTCTAACCCGCATAACTGGACTCTATCTAAACTAAAAGCGGAACTTAAAAATATTGGGATTTCAGTTCCATCAACGATGGATAGGAATAATACGGTGAAATTATTTCTCGAAAATTCCAAGAACAGAAGTACTCAAACTTCTAATGGCGTAAATCCAGACGCATACACAGATCTCGCCGCCGATCATTCAAGAAATTCTAATTCTACCGATATCAGCGATGTAAGGTCAAACACAAGGGAACTATTTACTCTAGCAGAATCACTCGTAAACAGAGACAGTTCACAGAGTTTGCGCAACGATACAAGCACTTCCGCCCAGCAATCTTCCAATATGGCGGCCCCCATGCCCGACAGTATTCAGGCGACTTTACGGACTCTGCAAAAGAATTTAGAGGATCTGCAAAAGACTGTGTCTGATCTTCCTAAAAAGGATCACGAGGAGAAAACGTACACGCTAGAAACTGCAAGGAATTCGACTACACTTCTGGAATCGGGAAGCACAATCTCGGGAACTTCAATAGGTGGGTCCTTACGCACAACTCAATTCGGCGTTTCTGCTGAATGTCTACCACAATAAGATATTGTTTCAGACTCCCTTAAGAGAAAAATTTGTGAAGGCAAAGGTGTTAATTTGGCGAGTCTTCTCATCCCTAAATACGAGGTGAACAAGTCTGCGCCAGAGGTCAATATGGGCCTCAATGTTCTGGAGACCGTAGACCCCCGCCTCCACAAGACCCTAACCATTAGCGAATTTATAACCGCATTCGGGAAATATAAAAGAATTACGTGTACCAAATTTCCTGAAAGAAGGGTACAGCTCGACAGATACGAAGGTAATATCGTTGAAATTTCTAGTATAATAATATAAAAAGTCTACGATTACCATACACAGTTTTCGACCCGAGCAGCTGCTGCCTTACAAGTTCTGAACATCAAAGTTGATTGGTCCATAAAGGATAATGCTCTCCTGAGCATGGTCATGGGGAATGCCCGAGTTTCTGCCTGCCATCTCCGCAACTCGACTTCTCACTCTGGCTCATTCTGTCCTCTTTTACGTATAAAACCATCTCAATACCAGATGCTGAAAAACGCTCAAACACTCAGCTCTACCAAGGAAGACAAATGTGGAAGGCCATGTAAAACTCACAATGGCATGGACATTTGCAACAATTTCAACGCAGGAAAATGCAGCCGGAAGAATTGTATATTTTCTCATGTATGCTACATCTGCAAGGCAAGCGACCATGGAGGCAATTCATGCGAGGAAAGCACAAAAAAGAACAAATGACTAGACAACCAAAAACCAGATGCCCTTCCACTTTCTGCTTCCACTCCAGTTAACATTGATCGTCTAGAATTTGAACTAAGACTGCATCCTGATTCTAATTTCGTTAGATATCTTTGTGATGGCCTGCGCTACGGTTTTGATACCATGATTAATAATATAGACATGCCAAGTAAGGAATGCCGAAACCTCCTTTCTGCTATTTCGAATGCCCAAATAGTGGACGGCCTTCTCAGCAAAGCGGTGGAAAAGGTTTATCTACAAGGACCATTCAATGCACCCCCTTTCCAAAATACAGAGTGAGTCCCATTGGAGTTAGTTTCAAAAATATTCAAATAAAGCAAGTTTGATAGTGGACCTCTCAGCACCACATTCAGATTCTTCAGATCCCAGCATCAATTCACTAATCGACAAAGAAAAGTGCTCGCTATCCTACGTAACCACCGATGACGCCATAAAAACTATTCAAAAACTTGAATCCGGAACGACAATGTACAAAACAGACATTTCAAGCTAATACCCATTTCCCCATCTCAGTGGCACTTATTCTGTCTAAAATGGAAAGGCCTTTATTATTTCTATACTAAACTTGCTTTCGGCTGTAGATCTAGTCCAAGAATCTTCGATTGCCTTGCCCAGGCTATCTGCTGGATTGCTACCAACAACTATGGCATTAAGTATATCCTACATCTCTTGGACGACTTTATCACCTTTGAGGAGCCTGACAAATGCTGAGAAAGAAACATGGCCTTACTCATGCTTATTTTTAAGAGGCTAAATATACCTATTGCTAAGCAAAAAACAGAGGGTCAAGTCACCACTATCACCTTCCTTGGCATCACTCTAGATTCCCTCAGGATGGAAGCAAGGCTACCTACCGACAAGATTTCCAGAATTGTATCTTTCATCGATGAATTCCTTCAAAAGAAATCTTGTACCAAAAGGGAGCTCCTACAAATATTTGGCCATCTCAGTTTCGCAAGCAGAGTCATAGCTCCAGGGCGCTCCTTCGTGTCACATCTCATTACCCTGTCCACATCAGTTAAACAGCTCCATTTTCATATCACCTTGAACAAATGCTCCAGAGACGACATGAAAATGTGGCTTTTCTTCCTCAAACAATGGAATGGTATCTCCATGTTCTATAACCAAATTGAGGTCAGTTCCGATGCCCTGCAACTCTACACAGATGCTTCAGGATCTCTCGGGTACGGAGGCTTCTTCCAAGGACAATGGTTTTCAGAATCCTGGCCTTTTCCTCTGCAACGTACATGTAAAGATAGTGATGAAGTCTCCATAGCGTTCCGCGAACTCTACCCTATTGTCGTGGCCGCTCTGCTGTGGGGTCACTTGTGGAAAAAACAACGCATTGTATTCTCTTGCGATAATCAAACGACTGTGGCAATCATCAATAAGGATCGCTCCAAATGCCCTAAGATCATGACACTCGTTCGCCGTCTAATATTATGTGCAGCTGTTAACAACTTTGTTTTTAAAAGCAAATACCTTGAAGGTAAAAAAAAATTTATTGCCGATTGTCTGTCTCGTTTACAGATCCCAAAGTTCCAACAGCTGGTTCCAGATGCCAGGAAAACACCTTGCACTGTTCCAGGATACCAGGAGGTCCTCAAAGACTTGACAATATTGTAGACAACCTTCTTGATGCTGCTGTAGACCCAGGACCAAGCAATCCTATCTCACTGGTTTTCAAGCCTACACCAGATTTCTACTCATGTGCAATATTACATCAGACTTACATTTACTTCATGTTCCAGTGTCGCAAGATTTACTATTGTACTTTGTTGCCCATTGTTACTCTGGATTAGAACTTACTTATGCAACAATTAAGTTGTACTTATGTGGCATACGTTTTCATTGTATAAAGCATAACATTATGTATCCTAATGTCAATTAAATGCCAAGGTTATTTGCAGCCCTTAATGGTGTCAAAAGAAGCCAGATAAGGCCAAATAATTTAAGACAACACTTTTGATGTCCCTTTTGATGTGCTCAAAAACTGTGTATATTTTTGCAACAACCCAATCAATGTACAGTATTCAACAATGTCTTGTTACTAGCTACATGTTCGGTAGCATTTTTTGGTTTTTTAAGATGTGGCGAGTTTACCATTTACAAAAATTTTGACCCATCTTCTCATATTTGCTTGTCAGATATACAAATTCTCGAGGACATGGTGCATTTACGTTTAAAGATCTCTAAAACTGATCCATTTAGAAAAGGCATCATATTAAAACTGTTCAAAAACGGCCTAGATACTTGTCCATTTAAAGCATGCATTAAATATCTTAAACTAAGATGAAAGTCCAACCCCTCACCAAATGACCCCTTATTTATAACAGAAGACGGCATGCCTTTGTCCAGGAATGTATTTCTTTTTTTGTTTAGGAATACCCTAGTCAAGGTCGGGATAAATCCTCATGCTTTTAGTGGCCACTCTTTTCGCACTGGCGCTGCCACTTCAGCCGCCTCTGCTAATATAGAGGATCACCTAATCAAAGTATTAGGTAGGTGGTCTTCAGATTCATACTGTAGATACATAAGAACACCATATGTTTCGCTGAATTTATTTTTGCTAGGACTGTTCATTTTAAGCATTTTATTGTTCCATGCTTGTTCACTTGCAAATGTTCTCTCCCTTCTTATTTTGGGGCAACTCAGCTATTCAATAATATTTTACATTATTTCATATCTGACTTTTGGGCATTTTTACATGTTGTACCTCAACATGCCAAAAAAATTTACCCCAAAATTCAGGAAACAAACGCCATACTGTTCCAGCGGTCAGGTCATTTGCTTTGCTAAAGCTAATGTGAACACGAGGCTCCCGAGTATATCAGTTTGACACCTCAAACTTCTCCTACTCCACGAGTCCAGGATCTCCACCGACATGACCAGACCTATTTCTCAGCTCAACTTCCGGTTACCGCAGCACTGTTTGACACCTCAAACACCACAAATCGAGCTGTTGAGCTCTTCATCAGAACATGCAGCATACTACCACTTGGCAGAATAGCTCACCTCACTGTTTTGCTTCAGGTGGACCTCTAGTCTGCCACATGGTTCTGATGCCTCTGTATATCTTGCATAGCTGGGTTTGCCCTTTCGCCAAGTTTGTTTGTTTTTAATTATCAGTTGTATATTATCTGTGATATGTTTATACATATGTTTTTATATTGGATAATATACTTTAAAACTCAAACTGTCTCAGTTGTTTGTCGACACAAAATAAGGAGATAACGAACAGTATTCAAGCTCAAAGTCCATTAATACAATACAATTCGAAAGCAGAGGAAACACGGACCTCCAAAACATCAGAGGTGTGATCAGGTGCAATGGAAGAGTGAGCACTCCCAGCCGACCGGTCACATTTTTTTACTGATGAGTTCTTGTCATTACTCTTGCATAAAGTGAATGTCCATTAATTAAAAATTTGCAGATGTCATAACTTAAAATAGACGTTCAATTAACAAATAAGTTGTTATAACTTTTGTTGGTAAACTTACCCTGCTTCTCTTCAATAAAGTAACCTTCACATTATGAACCCGACTCGTCCAATATCTATACATGTCTGCAAGAAAGAATGTAATGTAGGTAATTTCAAATTTGAAAACCACTGGATAAAGGAATATTGTTTTTAAAAGGTTTCTTTCTCCTTTTTTTTGGATAGAATATAATATAAGAATTGTGTTTATTTATTTATTTATTTTTTTCAATTATTTACTTATTGATCGGTGTATGTTGTTTTGGGGATTATACCAACTTTCATGCATGTATGAGTTCGGTAACGATGCTATGTACATGTAATCAAAAAATTACAATTACTTGGTTTTCAAATGTATATTGGTTAAATTGATGATTACATGACTTTCAAAAGTAATTGATCAAATTGAAAATTATAAAAAAATGTAATTATAGTTACTTCTGATAACACTTAATTACATTTGATAAATTGTTATGCATGAACTGAAAAGAGTCATGAATAAACTATATATTAATTCTGAAATACAGTATATTTGACCAAAAATATTGTGAAAATCACTTTTTAGACTGAAGAAATGATAAAAAAAAAAAATACACGTGGATTTTAAATCTAGTTACTATAGTATTCACAACATTGACAAAAATCATTAATTCTAATTGATTGGCATTCTTCTTTTCAGAACTGTTTTTCACAATTTTTCCACAATTTTTTTTCGTATTCTAAAAAGTGGGACAAACTTTTCAGCATTACTAACATTCACTGAATTATTTCAGTTTCAAAAATTATTATTGAAAAACTGCTAGTGATACAGATTGAATACATAATGATATGTACATGTTGGTTTAAATTTTACACTAAAGTCCTACATTTAGAAAGTATATACGTGTGAAGAAATTATAAAACTCCCAGCAATGAAGTCAAAAATAAAATTGACAATAATTTATACATAAAAAATTTAATCGGAAAGGCATTTTCCTCTGAGTGATCAATAAATCAAATTACGTACATGTAATCAAGATTTTTGCTGATTAATCATTACCCCTGATTACATTAAAATGAAATTTATTACAGGTTATTTTTAAATAATAACAATTATGATTTCCCCATATCTGCATGCATGTGAGCATTTATTTTGTCATTAAGAATATTACACAAAAATTGCAAGCTTGGAAATATGAACTCTAGAAAAGTGTATGTGCAAATCTATATAAAAAATCATTTTATCTCATTCACTGTTTGTTAAATATATAACTAGATTGTCAGAAAGATGTATAAAATGTTGAAATAATCATTGACCTACTAGTAATTGCAAATTATATGAAGCAAAGCAGCCACTCGCATGACAATCAAATGTCTGTTTCTCTTTAAAATAATTGTTTTCAATATTGTAAGTATTAATAATCATGATCAAGCAGTAACAGCTTTAAGTGATCACATAGAAAGACTCTCAGTTGCAATAAAAATTGTTGCAAAAAGTTGCAAATTATTTTCCTCTGCTTTACAATCTTTAAAACTTGCTTTATAAATCATATGGAATAATCAATTAAAAGATCATGCTTTTTAGTGTTAATAACCTAATATGAAATAATAATTTTAAAAAAAAAAAGAAGACATTTTCAAATCCATTCCGAAAGAGAAATTTTATTTATATGTACCAGAAAGGGTAAATCTAGTATGTTTTTGGAATTGCCGAGATCTGATAGCTAATAAAGAAAAAAAAACATCAAAGAATTATTTTGTTCAAGTTATTAAGATTCTACAAGTAAATGTCAGAGGGGACTCTGTACGTCCGTCCGTCAGTTCGAACACTTTAATAGTTTATAATATTGAACTTATTAGTTGATTCTACCTTGATGATTAGCAAGAAATCAAAATTGCACTTCGTTCCTGTTCGATGAATTTTGATGGAATCACACCCTTAAATTTAGAAAATTTTGTATATTTCAAGGTTTTCAGACATTTTTCACCCAAACACTTGCATGTATTAGGGTGATTTTTGGCATGCAGGTTTACCTCATTGAATTACACATGAAGTTTGCACTTCATTCCGCTTCGATCATTTTCGACGGAATTTCGACTATGTACTTTGAAAATTTCGTATTTATGTAGATTTTCCAAACTTTTTATATTGATGCTTGCAGATTTTTATTGTTTTTCTTAATTTATTCTAAATAAGTTACACATCAAGCTTGCACTTCCTTTTGCTTCAATAAATCTTATGCAATCACAGCCATTGAACTTCAAAAAGGTACATGTAGTATAATTACATGTTTTTCGGAACTTTTTTCTCCATACACATAAAGGCACTGAGCTTTTCGTTCCACTTCAATATTTTTTTTTTTATGAAATTACGATTTTTTCCCTCATCACCCTCCATACTTTTCAAATTAATGTTTTTTATGTGTGAATTTTAGGGGGTTCTAGGCTAAATCTGAGTAATTAGATGTAATCAGTAATCATGAAAAAAAAACTTTTTACTTTTAATTCAATCAATTATACAGTAAGAATTCGATCGTATTATTTTCTAATATCTTTTCTTGAAAAAATGCATAAAGAATATGGGGGATTCTGAATATGTCCTATTTTTAATGGCATGTCTAATATTCAACTATTTTTAAAATCCACCCCATCCCACCTTACCCCACCCACTCCCAAAAATTTCAAAAGCATTGAAATGGTAAATATCATTAGTTCTGTGTAAGAAATTTTTTCCAATATATAATCTTTATCTTTATTTATTTATTTATTTATTATTTTTTGTTTCCAATATGTAATCCTTATTTTTATTTATTCATTTATTTATTTATTATAATTATTTTTTTGTAATTAATTATTTATTGATGATTTGATTTTGATAATGACATATATTATTAATCCCTCACTGACTGATTATCTTCTTAAAAAGAATTAAGTACCCTCTCTACACTAAACAGAAATGTTTTTTAGACAATGAGAAAATTATGTTGTATAAAGGTGTAAATATTGAGCTTATTTATATCGTTTTCAACATAGGGTGCCTTGCTTTTACCCCCAGGAAAAATGTTCGAAGTCAACTAAGTTTTGATGAACAGAAATCACTGTTGTTTACCTAACTGGGGAAAAAGCATGCAGATGAAGTGTTCAATTAATTTATCTTAGCCCATCAAAA